AGGATGTGAGGTAGGGGGGGTGGGAATTGGGGAGGGGGTTTTGGGGGCAGGAATTGGGGGTTGAAGGGGGACAGGAATCGGGATTGGGGTTTAGGAATTGGGGGATAAAATTGGGAAGGGAATTCGGGGGTTAAAGGGGGCAGGGAATGGGGGAGGGGGGATAATGGAATTGGGGGGGGAGGGAATCAAATGGAAATAACAGAATTAGGGCAGGAAAAGGCAAATCAGAGATAGAAAATTCCAATTAAAGGACAAAAACCCCCAATGAACGAGGAAAAGTCCAAATGAATGGAAATGAAATTGAATTAAAGAAGGAAAAGATCCAATTAAAGAAGAAAAAACTCAAATAAAAGCAGGGAAAAGCTAAATTAAACCAGCAAACCCCCAAATTAAAGGTAGAAAAACCTGAATTAAAGGTGGAAAATCTGAAATTAAAGACAGAAAGTCCCAGATTAAATGTGGAAAACCCTGCATTTTTCTTAAGTTTTAAGTTGTAAAACAGGAAACCCCAAAATTAAAGGTTGAAAGAGCCAAATTAAAGGCAGAAAAACACAAATCAAAGGTGTAAAAAGACAAATTAAATCAGGAGAAAGCAAATTAAAGCAGAAAAAAATCAAATTAAAGCCAGAACCCCTCCAACTGAAGGTATAACCCCCCATTAGAGCCAGACCCCCCCAGTCCAGGGGGTTCCCCCCATCCCATACCAGCAGGTCAGGGCTGGAGCCTCTTTCCCGGTTCCCGTCCTGTTTTCCAGCCTTGGGCATCATCTTCTTACTGGCGACTGTGGGGACCAGGCAGACCCCCGAGAGCCCCTCACAGGCCAGGAGACTCGCCTGGGGGGCACAGAGACCCCCACCATCAACAGAGACCCCAAAACCCTCCCAAAACCCCCAAGAGACTTGCTGAGGGAGGACAGGGACCCCCAACACCAGCACAGACCTCCAAACGCCCCCAAACTCCCTCTTATCAGCACAGACCCCAAAACCCCCTAGGAGACTTGCCTGGGACCCCCCCCATCATGAACCAAACCCCCCAAAACTCCCCCCAAAAAACCCTACAAGACTCGCCTGGGGGGGACAGGGACCCCCACCATCAACAGAGACCCCCAAAAAACAAAGAGACCCTGGGAGGGAATGTGGGAAAATCCCAAGGAAACTTGTGATTCTGAGTCGGGAGGGGGAGGTGAACTCCCTTTTTTGGGGCCTGGCAAGACAAAGGATTAATGGGAAATTTGGGGGTAATCCCACAGAAATTGGGATAATTTTAGGGAAAATTTAGGATAATCCCAGGGAAAAGTGGGAAGACTCCAAAAGAGGGGATGAGGGGGCTGACAGGACCAAAGGTTAATGGGAAATTTGGGCATAATTCCAGAAAAACTGAGGAACTTTGGAATAAGCCTGAAGAAAATTTGGAATAAAACCAGGGGAAAGTGGGAAGGGGGGTTCCAGCTCCAGCTCTGGCCCCATTTTCCCCCTTTTTCCCACATTTCGGGGCCATTTTTCCCCCAAAAAGCTGCCAGGCCTTGGGATTTGGGGGCCTTTGGGGGATTTTGGGGATGGAGGGTGGGGGCTCATTACCTGAGCCATGGTGTGGGAGCCTTTGGCCTGACTGTCGCCCAGGCAAAGCTCCTTTTGGGGGCAGAAAAGGTGGGATCAGTAAATTTTTATGGATTTTTGGGCGGGCTCCAGTACCCGCCACGGCGCCGCCATTCCTTCCTCCTCCTCCTCCTCCTCTTCCTGGGGGGCCAGGGGCTCAGGAAAGGGGGGGGACACTCGTCCAGGCCCCCCCCCCCACAAGCCGGGACCCCCCAAAGCAGGAGGTGTTGGATCCGCAGGGACGGAGTTGTTGGGGGGCCCTGGGGGGAAAAGAGGGTAAAAGGGGGTCCCCAAAAGTGGGGGGGTCACCCACCCAAAACCGGGGGGGGTTGGGGGGACTCTGGGGGTAATTTGAGGAGGGTGGGAGTGGCTTTGGGGTGTTAGATCTGGGGAGGACTGGGGGGGGGTGAAAGGGGGGGGCGGGGGTCACCAACCCTAAACTGGTGGAGTCTGGCAGGGTTTGAGGGGGCCCAAATGTGTGGGGGGAACCTGGGGGTGGGGTCCAGAGCAGGGTGACACGGTGGGGGGAGGAAGGGGGGTCCTGGGGGGTGGGTGACCCTGAGGGGAGTTTGGGGAGGCCCTAGGCAGAGAGGTGAGAGCGGTGGGGGAAGGTCAGGTCTCGAGGGGTCCCGGCGGGGGAGTCACAGTGACGGGGGGGGTCCGGAGAAGGGAGAGGGTCCGGGGTTTGGGGGTTCGCACGGGGGGGGTCCCAGGCACGGGGGTCGCACCGAGACGGTGAATCATCGGGGGAGGGTCACATCGGGGGTGGGTCAGGGTCCCACCAGGGTGGTCTCGAGCGCCCCCCCCATTGTACCTCCCCTCCCTCCCCCCCTCCCCGTGCGGGGGGGGGGCGCGAGTCGGCCCGGGGGGTGTCTCGGGGGGTGTGTGTGGGTCTCTCCGGGGGGTTTTTCGAGGGGTGTCGGTCCGTACCTTCCGCGGCCCCTCCGCGCTCCCGCCGCCCCCCCGTCCTCACCCGGAACTGGAAACTCCGCCCCCGCCGCCACTTCCGAGAGCCACAAACGCCGGGCGGAAGCGACGGGTGCAATGCGCATGAGTATAAAGGAAGAGCGAGGCCAGGCTCCGCGTCGCCATCTTGGGTGATGGTGGTTGCCATGGCAACCGCACGGCCTATACCTCTCAGAGCAGCCTGAGCCCTCCGACAGGGGGAACGGACCCGAGCCCCTCTGGGACCCCCCCGTGTCCTCCTCGAGGCGCAGTCCTCGCTATGACCCCTCCTCCCCGCTGGGACCCTGTGGTGGGTTGACCTTGGCTGGATGCCAGGTGCCCACCCAGCCGCTCTATCACTCCCCTTTCCAGCGGGACAGGTGAGAGAGTAAGGTGTAAAAAAAACCCCAACTCATGGGTTGGGTTAAGGCAGTTTATTTAAAGCAAAAAAGTAAAGTGAAGCTTGCGTCTGCAGAAGCAAAAGATAGCAGAGTTTATTCTCTACTTCCCGTGAGCAGCGATGGTCGGCCACTCCCGAGAAGCAGGGCTTCAGTACATGTGATGGTTCCTCAGCAAGCAGCCATTGGAGACAATGAATGCCCCCCTTCCTGCTCTTTGTCTCAGCTTTTATATCTGAGCTGACGTCATATGGTCTGGAATATCCCTTTGGTCAGTTTGGGTCAGCTGGCCTACTTGGGTCCCCTCCCAGGATCTTGCCTGATTTTTGTCTTATATAGCTCACAGACTTAATCTTCATTCTTTCCCTGTTCCACTGATGGGTAGGATCACTTATTTCCTTTGCCCTGTAATGTAGTTGAAGATCAAATAGACTTTCTATGTTGCTTTGGCTATCCTGATTCTAGCTTTTTTTCAGTAACACAAGTAGAACAAGTACTGAAATAGCGCTGAACTGTCGTTTCTTTCCCCAGTGACTGAGGAGAGTCATGAAGAACCAGCCTTCAGAAACTTTGTGCAGGACATGCGGATGAAATGCCAGAGGAGAAGCAACCCAAAGGAATGAGACCTTCAGAAACAGAAGGTTTGGAATCACTTGTAATGGAGTTAAAACTGAAGGAACAGCATAAAGAAACTTGCACAAAACCATGCATGAAGACTTTTATCCGTGAACAACTTCCTCTGATAGATTTTTATTTTTCTTTCTGCAGTAACTGTTGGTCCAATGAGTTAAAGGTCTTGCAGCCAACTGACTGCACATTTGGCCATCTGCCACTGTGGCTTCCTGAAGCTGAAGGAACCAAACAGTTTCTTTTCCTGCAACTTGTTCAGATCTCTCTGTTGAGAGCTTAGATTTTGAGCTCTGACAGCATTAGCATCCAGTACTCACTGGTCCCCAGAGGCACCTTCCGTTTGCAGAGTGCAGTCAGGCATCTGCTGCAGCCAGGGCACAACTTGATCAATCTGCTGTTTGATGTTTTGGTTTTCATTAAGTAGATTTTATGTACTAAGAAATGTGTGATGGTTAATAGGAGATTTCATGTCACCATTCTAAGGTGAGACTTTTTCCCTGTGCTTGCAGCCTATTCATATGGATGCACAGCAAATCCATCTTAAGTATTTTACAACCCTGCAGGTTACCTGGTGACAACAGGGAGGTCCCTTTGCCCACATTGCCTTTCTCTTGCCCCTCTCCAGCCTGAGGCCACTCCTCTGCTCACTCAATCTGGCCTCGCTGTCCTACGCGATGCCTCTTCTGTCTTCTCCAATGGCTGCTGCCAAGAAAAGAGGACATAGTGAGTCCCAAGTGCTGACTCCTCACCATTACTCCTGGAGAACCACTATGCCAGCCCCTCAGTGATTTCACCTCCAACCCTATCCCCATACACTGGGATAGCTACTCTGGGGCTGAAGCTGGAATACAGTTTCTAGAGCTGGACCTGAAGTAAACATCCTGCTCTGATCAAGGAGCAACTTCACTTGGTGGTGGGAAGATGTGGAGCTGAAGCTGAAATCACTGCAGGGCTGGGATTGCAGAGAGGCCTTCCAGAAATTCGTTCGCAGAACCTGGGAACAGATCAGCTTCAGCATCAGCTTCAACATCAGCGGAGACTGCGCGGGAGAAGGAGGGTGGGCAGCGGGCCTGGGGCAGGCAGGGGGATACGGGGTGGGGGCGGGCACTTAACGATTTCGGCCAGGGAGCTGATCTCAGCCAGCACCCAGTCGGGGCAGTCTAAGTCCCCGTAGAAGCAGAACTGCTGCGTGAGGAGAGGCAGTCAGAGGCGCACTGCCGCTCTGCGTCCTCCCCGCTCCCCGCCGCCAACTCCCGGCCCACCACGTCGCCGCTGCTCCCCGGTCCCCCATGCCGCACAGTCCGCCTTCGCGACCCGGAACCGCCCCGTGTGCCGGTGGGAGGCTCCCCGAGGGGCTCTGCAGGGGCCTTGGGGCCGGGCCCCCGGGAGTGCGGCCCGACCAAGGGACGGGGTCCCGGGAGCGGGACCCGGGACGGCCACGGACCCGCGGGAAGGGCCCCTCCGACACGGCCCTCGTCCCTCCTCCCGACCACCCGAGCACCTCCCGCCACCCGCGGCCGCGGCCCCGCGGGCTCCAAGCCCCGCCAATCCGGGCCCGAGGCAGCGTCTG